ACACACACACACACACACACACACACACACACAGTCGTAGACAGAGTCAACTGAGCCAACCACGAGGAAAGGAGAGCAGAGGATTCATTTCAAGACTCCGAGCCTGACGATGAGGATGGTTGGATGAAATAGAGGGAAAGAGTCACTGAGGGAGGGCTTATATTTGTATGTTTGTGTGGTGCTTGTTCCCCTCAGCTCCCCTGCTGTATGAATTAAAAATAAAACCTGGTTTTGGCCGCTGAATCCTTCAGCTCAGCAGCAGACCTGGACCCAGTGCCATTTCCCTCTGTCTCCCTAACACCTGAACTCTGGCACACTGCTCCTGCTAATTGCTTTTGTGGCCAAAAATAGCACAAAATTGGCCTTTTCACCAGCGGTCATCAAGTCTCAGAGGTCAGTACCAGAAGTTCAGACAAATTAAATCAAGACGATCATCGTTGGACCCAAAAAGCCCCACTCATACATAGCGGAAGTGAAATTAAACAAGCTTATACCATCTACAGCTTGCAGGACATCAATAGGGCTGCCACAAACGATTATTTTGATAGTCGACTAGTCACCGATTATTTTTGCAATTAGTCAACTAATCAGATCATGTATCGATTGGACGTAAAAGTACAGCTTATTGCACCAGCAGCATCTGCTCTTATATAACTATCATTAGCTTACAGATTTAAGTGTTTAAGGTATGTGCTAACTAAAAATAAAGACAAGATGATAGTTTATTAAATTGTAATGAAATTTGAAGATTGTTTTGGTGAAGTTTAATAAACTCCTTGCTATCTAAAATATAACAGGACACCGGAGTAAATTCTCTCACACTTCTGATAATCAGCTGTCTGCTTGATGTTTATTCAGCTGTGTAAAAACTATAACTTTAACCTCAGCCAAACCGGAACACTCAGGAACAAATAGAATACTAAAAAAAGCCAAACAATAACATTTTCAAGTTATCTAAGTGACTTATATATCATGTTTAACCTGAGTAGCGAAAGACAGCTGTGGGTTTGAAAACGATTTGCCGGGAGTCCGCTGTTCTCACGGCTCTAGTTAGCCTAGCCCCCGGCTAGCTATCGAGCTAGTGG